ATCCTCAACGGGAAGCTTAATGGTCAGGTTTGGAGGGATGGCAAGGAGAGGCCACTTAGCCAGGGGGCGTCCAAACTCCATGCATGACTCGCCCCGCTAGCACTAGTCCCTGGGGCCACCTCCCTCAGAGACAGGGCCAGGCCACCCTCTCACCCCATGATGACTCCAGCCTCGTCTTCCACTTGCTTCTGAAATCACAGAACCTTCTAGTACGGCCCACCAAGAGATTATGGGGTCACTTGTTGAAATCTCCCCCAAGCCACACTACAACCTTGCTTTGCTTCTCAATGACCGCAGCAAGCAATCTCCTCCCATAGAAAGAGCTGTAGCCTCCTAAACCTTTCATTTATCCCAACTTCACCTGCATCTACTGGGCAGGCCAGTGACAGCTCCCTAATGGCCTTTACCTTGTTAGTTAGAGTTACGGAATCCCCAAACCTCCAGGACCATGCTCCCCAGGCCCTTCTGTCCCTCTCCCTGCCCATCCAGAGTGGGCACATTCCCCACAAACAGCGTGGAGAAACAGAAATCACATTTCAGGTCCCAAACCCAACCCTGCCAAATGTTCTGGGACAGCCCCTTGCCCTGAGGTTCAAGGGTGGGGGTCATGTCCAGGGCCCCCCAGCTGAGGATCCTGGCCCTCCTACAGCCAGGGCTCAGGGAACCCAGTTCCTGATGTATCCAATTCAATTGTCTGACCTGCCCAAGCTCTAAGACACCAATGACAGTTGGTGTCCAAGCTCTAAGACACCCAAACCAAAGCCAGTGCCAGAGCTGGCAAATGAACGTGGGCACTCTGATGTTGAACTCAGGCATTTTAACTGCTAGATGATATGCCCATACCCTCAATTACAGTGTATTGAGGGTGTAGTTTCAAGTAACAAATAATCTGAGTGGACCCACATTTTGAGACAAATGCTGGTCAGACCCCTAAGAACTGAGTTGTATGAATCAACTAAGAGAAAGCTTTTAAAAATATTTATTTTGAAAGCATCTCAGGAATCTCTGTAACCAAATGGAGCTTGTCTGCTCTGTAGCCCTGGTGTCCAGCAACGTAGAATGAGTTCTGCAAAGACAGAGAACCTAGGGCCTGGTGGTGTGGCCTAGCGGCTGAAGTCCTCGCCTTGAAAGCGCTGGTTCTTATCCCGGCGGCCCTGCTTCCCATCCAGCTCCATGCTTGTGGCCTGGAAAGGCAGTCAAGGACAGCCCAAAGCTTTGGGACCCTGCATCCACGTGGGAGACCCAGAAGAGCTTCCTGGTTCCTGGCTTTGGATTGGCACAGCACCGGCTATTGCACTCACTTGGGGAGTGAATCATTGGATGGAAGATCTTCCTCTCTGTCTCTTCTCCTCTCTGTATATCTGACTTTGTAATAAAAATAAATAAATCTTAAAAATATATGTGTTAAAAAAATAAAGAACCTGACCTAGTCAGGTGATGGAGGGGTTTGGCAGGCACTAGTGAGGGCATAGGCCAGGGTGTTTGCATGCCTTCCACCCCCTACCTGGGGCTGAGCCTCCTCGGTGATCTCTTTGGTGCCTGGATGGTCAATGCCTCCTCATATTTTCTGCTCACTCTCTTGCTGGCCCACACACTTCAGCTGGGGTCCCTGCTTACCATCCCATGAAGAAAGCAAATGCCTTTCCTTCTCTTCCCTTCTGCCTGACTCCCTCTCTAGGGGACGGGACCGGACTTCCTGAGCCAGGTCAGTTTGTCAGTTGTGATTGGACACTCCCTCTCCTTGGCACTGGGTACTCTAGTCCATGCCCAGCACTGTCTTCCAATCTGTGCCCGCAGGGGCCCTGTTGCTATAGTGACTCAACTTCCCATGTAATGTCCAAGGAGACAGGGGTGGAGCTGGAGCTATTTGCTCACCTTGCTGAAACCAGCACAGACAGGCTGGGATAATTCCAGAAGGGGTCAGAGAGGCCCAGGATAGCGACTGAGTGTTACTGCAACAGCACTGTGTGTGTGTGCACAGGCTCACACACAACCTTCACCGCCTACTTCACAATGCCCTTACCACAGTACCTAGCACACACAGCTCACACACAGCATGGCCTAATCTCATGCTGCACTTAGGTTTGGTCCTAAGGCGGAGTTCATGGCTTTTCACTGTTGAGGTGCCATATTGCAAACTAAAGAGATGACAGTGGAGGAATGACACTAATAGGGAACCGGGGCAGACACTGCACTCTACCTGCAGCTGACTTGACGGCTGATCTTGCTCTCTATGTTCTCAACCTTCTTACAGAATTATGAGGGGTCTTCCAAGAATGAGCTCAAGTTAAAGATGCTTTATGCAAAAAAAACTGTGCATCTATTTCACAAATGTTTGTACCAAGATATATGTGATTGCATCTTCTACCATGTTGCAGAAGTGCCAAAGTTTGGCACAGGACTCTGAGAATGACCCCATTCTTGCACAATGCTACAACCCATATAGATTCTGTGCACCTGGTGGCTTGTCTGAATCATCCCATTGAATTTGTGTTGGGATCCTGCACATGGAGTAGTGCTATGTCCATTTCACAGATAGTAAAATGGAGGCTCAGAGAAGCTAGGAGCTGCTCAGCCTTGGAGCTGGGAGTCTGATCCACACCCTGATTCCCAGACCAAGACCTTTGCCCTTTGACCATCCAGCCCTGCTTTTTCCTCGCTCTCCTATACCTTGTGGGACTTCATTGGTGTGTGTATTGAGGGGAGATTGTCTTCTGGGCCCAGAGAGAACAGAATGCAAGGTCTGGAATAGCAGGTGGGGTAGGTTTCTATTTGGTGTTCCTCTGGTGACTTGCATTTTGTCACTAAATTCAGGAGCCTCCCATCCCTCCTTCCTGGGTGTTATTGGGAATATTTTTTAATAAACGACCCCAATGCTAACCCATCTGCGCTGACCCACTTCATTCCAGAGTGGCTAATCCATGCCTTTTTCCACAATGAGGAGTGGGGACTCCCTTTGGCACAGCTCAGAGACAGCCCTGCCTGCAAATCCATGCCTTCTCAGCAGGAAAAGAGGCAGGCCCACTTCCTTCCTGCACCCTCGTGCTCCCATCTAATGATGATTTATAAAGCACTTCATAATTTATTCACACCACTGTCAGAAGCTTCCTGGGATAGCCACCCCTCACACCAAACAGAATAGGACATCAGGCTTTGGGACAGGCAAAGTCAGTGCATGGGGGAGGTGTCCCTTCTGCTTCCTAGCTTGCATCACTCAGTGTTAGCACCTGTGCCAGGACAGCCTAGGGCTCATGAGCAAGGCCAAGCATGCCAGACTGTTTCCTGGGAGCCAGAAGGCTCTGAGGGTTGGGTCAGCTCTCATGGTTTGCCTCGAGTCTCTCAGCTCCAAGGATTTGAACTTGATCCCATGTCAGGTGGCTGGCAGCCTGGGGTGAGGAGCCAGGCAGACAGGTTCTCAGAAGGTCCAGGGCACAACTAAGCTAATAGGCTGTATCTGTGATTAACTGGGGGTAGATTCAGGCCTCCTACCCCTCAAGGATACCTGCTTGGTATCTTCAAAGCCCACTCTGGCACCTGTAGCAGACCTCTCCAAGCCTCCCTTGTCACCTACTTTCAGTCCCCTAATTCCTCAGAAGGGGGCAACACAGAGACTTCATGGCAACAAATGGCATCAAAATGACCACTTTGCGAAAGCATGGCTCTCAACATCTTAAAAATAGACAGCATGGGGCCCAGCATGGTAGCCTAGCAGCTCAAGTCCTCGCCTTGCATGTGCCAGGATCCCATATGGGCACCAGTTCGTGTGCTGGAAACCTCATTTCCCATCCAGCTCCCTGCTTGTGGCCTGGGAAAGCAGTGGAGGACGGCCCAAAGTCTTGGGACCCTGAACCTGCATAGGAGACCTGGGAGTTAGGAACTCCTGGCTTCAGATCAGCTTAGCTCTGGCTGTTGTGGCCACTTGGGGAGTGAATCAACAGACGGATCTTTAATCCTCTCCATCTCTCCTCCTCTCTGTATATCTGACTTTCCAATAAAAATAAATCTTTAAATAGACAGCACAGGGAAGAGTGGCTTTTGGATGAATCTGGGCAACTGGATCCTTTGGCCATCCTCACCAGCTCTATTCCTCCAGGTAGAAAAGTGGATGAACAGTTGTGCTCAGGACAGTTAGCACCTGCTGGCTAACCCAGTCCTGAACCATCACATCCCAAGTGGCTACTTTATTAAAAAGCATGCTCTTTCAACTGAGATTTTAACTCCACTCAGTTGCTAAGAGTTAATGCCTAAGTTCCTTTAAGCAATCATAACTAAAGAATGTTGTTTGGGCATTAACATACTTCAAATGCTAATTATAAAAAATTAATCCTTCTCATGTATAGTAAATACATTGCATTGTTTGGCCTTCCATTAAAAACATTAATTCTTCACAGGGCTGGCACAAGCCCTGGCAGCCGGCGGCAGGGCAGGGATGGGGAGGGAGGCACTGGTTCTTGACTTTGACCGTGAAAACATTCCTCTTTCCCTATGGAGACCATAGATACACAGCCAGGACATAAGCAGACACACCACACAGTTCTGCTATTAAAATTCCTTGGCAGAGGTGGTGAAGACAAAGAGGCGCTATTAGGAAAAACAATGGTTGAGATGACACAGAGAATCGCCAATGCAATTTTTCTGAATGGCTCCCACTCAGTTGAGCTCTCTCATGCCTGCTGCCTCTCATCACATCTGGGGAGGTGACCTGCGGGAGTCTCTCCTTCAGGGAACTTTACCCAGGATACTGGCACATTTCAGCTGGTAACACTTTCCTCTCCCTTTTCTGTATTATCCCGCTATTTCTCTGTGGCTCCTTCCTGATGATGAAGTTACAGGCAACACCGATGCCTGTTTTGGTGTGCAAGGCACCCTCATGCTTTCCTACTAGGCCCCAGAACTGCTAGACGGGGAGGCACCCTTCCTGCATGCTCATGGGTGCTTGATGGCTGAGATCACCAAGCAGCTACAGGCCATTAACTCTGGGCATGTGCAGAACAACTTACAGTGCACAGCGTTTCAAAGGTCTTTTCTGAGACAAAGGATCCATCGAGGCCAAAAAGGAATATGGATGCGTAGGAGAGCATTCCTCCAAGGATGATCAAGTTGTTCATGTATGGACTGGACATCTTTATCAACCTGAGAGAGAGAGGTGGGGAGAAAGAGACAGAAAAACATCTCAATCAAGTTTTTCTACACACATTATATACACTGTCACAGGCTCAAAGTTCAAGGACAGAAAAGTGGAAGCCCTGGTTTCTTCCATGCCCGCACCGCCCCCCGACCTCTATATGTTTCTCATTGCTGATCTGATCTTCCTGCCTCCTTTGTTAAGTTCGCCCAGTGCCTCCCCAGGGACTTTGGCTACTTTATCCATAAATCTTCAGCTTATGCAAAAACCTCAAGTCAATAGGATGGAGATGGGAACTCGCTCCAAATTCTAAGCCTTCTACACTGACTTTTAATTCCTAGGTGGTCCTCTGCCTAGAGTGGATCTTGCTCAGAAGGCCTATGGGTGAGCCTTGGGGTGCCTAGGGTGAGGTCACCAGGTGTGGATGATCTTAGGAGGCCTCTGAGCATTGGGAAAGCTTCTGTTGCCTAGGACACGCAAAGCACCATGTTCATGCAGGGCCACACACCTGCTCATCACCAGGGAACAGAAGTATGCAATGGAGCTTCTGTCTCTGTCTGTGAAATGGGGCCAGTTGATCACATTGCCTAGGATTCTGTTCTTTCATGGACCATGGACTAAGTGCTAAGGTGGCTTTATTGTTACTAACACAGCAGCCTGGGGAGGGTCAGGAGAGGCTGGCCTCTTGGAGGAGGGGGACTGGCAGTGGTGCGAGGACTAGGACAATGCAGGTGTTACAGTGATGTAACAGGTGTGTATACTTCTGTTGTTCTTCAGGAAGCAGGTTTGACTTAAGCAATTGCTTCCAGAAAACAAAAAACAAAAATCCTGGGCCTAGAATGATAGCCTAGTGGCTAAATCCTCGCTCTGCAACTGCCAGGATCCCATTTGGGTGTCAGCACGTTCCCAGCTGCTCTGTTTCCCATCCAGTTCCCTGCTTGTGGCCTAGGAAAGCAGTAGAGGATGGCCCAAAGCCTTGGGACCCTGTACCCACATGGGAAACCCAAAAGATCCTTGCTTCTGGCTTCGAATCAGCTCAGCTCCAGCTGTTGCTGCCACCAAGATCCTCTGCTTGTCCCTCTATAAATCTGCCTTTCCAATAAAAAAAAATAAGTCTTAAAAAAATCTTCCAAAACAATCCAGACACAAACCCATCAACCTGGAGGCTCACAGCAGCCTAGACCCTCTATGCCCCTCCTCTGCAGGCAGAAAGGAGGGAGAGGGCAAGCAGTTGCACCCCTCAGAATGGGGTTCATTCTCCACAGTCCGTGAGGTTCCTCTAGGTGGCTCCCGGGCCCCAAGGCAGAGCTGCAGCACTGCGTGGGTGTTTGCTCTGAGCCCTTGCTCAGTCTTTCCCTGGCAGGGCAGGGAGCTAAGGTCAGGAATTTGCTATGGAAACCAAATGTGTTGGCACATTTGCTAAACAGCTCCACCTGATGTGATGGCAGTGCTGCCCACAGCCCGGCAAACCGCCTTCCAGTGGGGAGGGAAAGATGAGTGATGCGATGAACATCAAGAGGTAGGGGACAGGCTCTGCTTGAGGTGGCCAGCAGCCTTAGGGCTCTCATCTGTAGTATGGAGAGGGCTGGTGGACAGCATGGACTCTCTGTACTGTCACATATGGATGCATGTGGGTCCTTGCAGCTGGAATTGTGGTCCCCCAGGGTGTTGAGGAGCAGAGGGCACAGAAATTCAGGGAGCTCTGTGCTCAGTCTCTGTTCCTGAACCACTTCCAAAGGCCTGTGGATGAGCCTCCTTTACCTTCATTCAGCCTAGCCTTCCTCTGACCATCGACTGTCCTGGGACCCACAGCTGTGACTGTAGCACCAAAACCACTGAGCATGGTGCTGTGGGAAAGCATTCCTGGAGACTGCCTGTCACGTGCTGCTCTCCCACTTTGCCCAGCACGCGTGTCAGCCCAGACAGCACGGTCCCCTGGGACCACTTACTTCTGGTTCCGGTTCTTAATGTTGAAGAAGAGAAAGGCGCTGGCCATGATCATCCCCAGGATGGTGAGGGCAGAGAGGATGCTGTAGAGAGGCAGGGAGATCTGCCGGAGCTGCTCCAGGATGATGGTCTTGTCTTTTGGGGGTTCGGATCCTAAGAAACCCAGCAGAAGACAATCAGGGAGAGTCCCCACCCACCCAACCACGTACCAGACCATCTTTGCCTTAGTGGCCTTGGCCTGTGGCTGGGCGCCTGCGCCCAAACTCTATGCAAGGCACATCTAACAGTTAGCTGATCTGCCCAGTCAGGAGCCTGAGCCAGGGCTTCTTTCTTTCTCTGAGAGGAATCAATAAAGGGTTTGTGATGCATTTAATAGCCATTAGAAGACTGGAATCTGATTTGGTCTAATTATGCTATTGAGAAACCATCACCATTCATCCCCAAGTGTAACAAAGGCTTGGAATACACAGGGCTGGGCAGGTAGGTCCCCCAGAGGGGCAATGAGGGTAAGAGACCTGGCCTCGGCCACAGGGACTCTGCTTACACATATGTGACAAACGATCGGTTTGCAGCAGGGCGGCCCCCTGCCTGTCACTCCATGATGACATCTATGTGCTCTGCCTGCAGATTTCTACCTCAAGGTCATTGTACGACCCCAGCTCCTCTTAGTTGGCTGCTTGGGGGAGGTTTGCCTACCATGGGTTATGCCAAGACTGGACTGGAAGGGGTGGGGGAGGCAGTTCCAGCTCACCACGTGATTGCAGAGCTATGCTGCTCATTCATCAAGGCACCAGGGACCCTAAAGAGTCCCCGAGGGTCTCAGGGTAAGTGCATCTGTCTGTACAGCTCTTCCAGGGGCAGGTGCTTTTAGGAGGAGGAAAGAAGGGGCTCTCCTGGCTTACGGCTAACCCTTTTTTTTGTCTTAGCTGCTACTTGAGGTCAGGTTTCTGCTGTGGAATTGTGAAGCTTTTGAGCTTCTCCTTCCAGAGGGCCTTTATGGAGTCAGCCAGCTGCTGGGGAGCGCTCAGCAAGCCCCAGCAAGCATCACAACGACCTTGTGGCCAAGCCTCGGGTGCCAGCCTTGTTTATGCTTCTGTTCCCAGCAGAAAAGCCAGGGCCAAGCAGATGTGGTGACAGGGGTAGAGAATGCCCCCTGAACAGCTGTGTTTTAGAGCCTCTGCCAGCAAGTTCAGATGTGTTTAGAAACACTCAGTAGACAATAAGCGCGGGAGCCATCCCCCAAATTGATGGAAGATGTCGGGCTTAGAAACAGTTAGAAGCCCCGCTGGTAGGGTTAACGTGCAGCCTTAAGTGATTGCAACGAAACTGACACCTACCAGAGTGACTGCACAGGCCCAAGTCAGGCCTGAAGCTGACATAAAACAGAATTAGCACCATTCCTTGCTTCCAGAAGGAAAAGCTCAATATCCACTTCTCCTGCCCCCAACATATACCCAGCCTGCAAGAAGCTGGCCCAGGGGCCTTTGGGCTCCCAAATACCAGGGCAGTCCCAATGGAAACTCATGAGATCTTGACCAGAAATGACATCTTCTTAAGGCACTGAGAAAGTGGGCTGGGGTTTGGATCAAGGCTGACATAACCACTAGGGAGTCTAGGGTCCAGTGTGTAGAGACAAGTAAGAAAACCAACAACATTTTCTCCTCCTCCTAGGCCTTCCCTTCTTAAATGACACCTCTGCAAGATGGATGATATGCAAGCCATAATAGTGACTGCATAATAGTGGTCCTGGGTTCCCCTCTGGTTTTTCATTCAGTCCACTCATTCATTAATCCTCCATTCTTCACCAATCATTCTTTCATCACCATGAATGATGATGAATCACCATGAATAATCACCTTCCACCTGTTACGCCTGATGCCGGGACCCTCGGTACGAAGATGGATATGACACAGTCCTGCTCCCAGGAGATTCAGTCACCACCCATAGGAAAAGAAAAGCACAGGACAAAGAACCCACATGTACTGAGTGCTTGCCATAGGCCGGGCACTTGATGGAGATTTATTTTATCACTTGACCACTCCTGGGCGGATCAGATCATCCCTACAGATGCAGGAGGTAGCAGTGTTCTAGGTATTTAGTGGCTTTTCCAGCAAAGAAGTGGCACAGCTGGTGGGATTAGAACTCAGATCTGCCTGACTCTGAAGCTGACACTGTAATGACCATGCATCTGCTTTGAGAGTAGGGCCCAGGTGGTTGGGTCCAGGAAGGTCTGGACAGGAATCAGGGTACAGAGTATAATTTTGCACCCGATCCTCAAAGAAGCTACCAGGAAAGTATTTAACTAGAGTTGAGTCTTGGAAGAGGAGGGTATTCATCGGCTGTTCACCAGGCAGCCAAGGTGAAGCTACATCCCAGACAGAGTGATAAGACACCATGGAAGCACAGCTGTGCAGGTGTCTTAGCATCTGAGGGACTGGAAGCAGTTGAAGCTGGGGAAACTTGAGAGAAGACAACCAAAGTGGGGAGTGGTCCCTTCATGGAGGTCTCTTGGCCACTTAGAGTGAAGCTCTCCGACACTGAGTAGGGAGGACTTGGTAGGGCCCCAACAGAGATGAGTGAGGCATCTTCAGTGCTGCACAGCACAAAGGGTGCTCTGGCTTTGGTGGGCAGAATGGGACGAACCCTCATGGGTTGGTGCAGGAGTCCAGAAGAGAAAGAGAGGATGAGAATTGAGCCCAGGCAGAGGTATTGGGGGAGAGCAGGGTTCTGCCGTGACTCCAGAGGTGCATTGACTTGGCCCTGGGCTCAGGGCCCGGCTGTGCTTGGCTGTGAGTGGCTATACACACTCCAGTGGTGCGGGGGGTTCTGAGAAGCAGGAGGTAGACCCAGAATGGCAGGCCTGGGACAGAATCCCCTGGTGCTCCCTGATTCTTATGCAAGCCACTGATCTGGTTGCTGGCCTATATTTCTTCCCCACCTCAAATTCAAATTTAGGTTTTCCTTTCATGTATGTTCTGTCTCCTTGTGCTCTAATCTTTCCTTCAGTTTACTAACCCAGAGTCCTTGTTCCATCAATCTGGTCTCTTGAGTTTGGGAGTAGTCAGGCTGTCTTGAGGATCAGGTGCAATAAGTCATGCCCCTCCCAGGCTATGTGGATGTGGGCTGCCACCCTCTGAGGCACTTTCTGAACTGTACAACAGGGTTAAGGGTTCCTGTGCTTCTGTTACTGTCCCTGGAAACCACACCCAGGGATCCCTCTTGGAGGCTGAACTATTGCTTTGCAGTGTTCTCAGAGTGGAATCTTAGCGATACAGTAGAAACACAGGGACTGGACAAAGCCTAATCCAGGCTCTGTGGAAAGGTCTACCTTTAAAAAAGATTCTGGGTACAGAAAGTCAGATGTCCCTTTTTTCTTCTGCTGCCTCAGTGAGTTGTTTTTATGCAGTGATGAGGAGTAGTGCATCCCTCTATTCGCCCATTTACCGACCTACACATCATCCATCTATCCATCCACCCAGGTGACCATCTGTCTATCTACCCAGCCACTTATCCTTCACCTGGCTGATCAATTACTCATTCCTTTTTTTCCCCACCCTAAATCACTTAATCTCCATTATGTGCTAGATCTAGGCTAGAGTCAGGAATTTAAAGCTAAATAGGATCCACTCAAGGGCTGGTGATCCAATCACCCAGTAATGAGAATGCGGAGTGACAGGGTTGAGGAGAAGGGCAGCCACAAAACACTGGAGGCAAAGGGAAGAAAGCCATTGATCTGTTGGGGGAGCAGTCCAGGAAGGCTACCCAGAATGGGGGCATGTCATTGAACTTGTTTTAGAAACTCAGGATGAATTGGTTAGCAGAAGAGAAGAAATGGTCTGTCCAGGAGAGCTGTGGGTGGAGAGGACTTGTTGACAACTTTTTTTTTTTATGGGAGGAGCCACAGCAAAATTTCACTGGCCCCATTTTACAAGAAACCCTTATGACCATCCAATGGTTTTACACATTGGTGTGCACTCCATGCAAAATCCTGAGGTCCATCCTGAGAGCTGGAATGCAGGGAGTGAGGGGGACCCTGTGTCCAGTGAGTGAGTGTGAGGATTGGGCACATGCTGTGGAGTTCACAAGGCTAAGGTCTCGTAACTTGTCTCCAATCCGCCAATAGCATCCAGGCTTGGGGGACAACAGAGAGGGAACCGTTTGTCCTACCTTGGAATCGGATGGTGTCGTTGATGATCTCCAGCGTGTCAGCCACAGCGTTGTACTCGCCCACCTTTACCTCCCTACTATCTGCAGAGAGCAAGACACAGTGGCTGGTTAGACTTGAATCTAGGCACTCTCAGCCCAGCTCCTGCTTCCCAGCCAGGCCTGGGTTATATCCTCACAGGCGTTTTATTTATTTATTTATTTATTTGCTCTGTTGGCTAGCAAGCCTCCACACTGGGTTGGGCTATAGCATCCTCTCACATTGACTCATCAGCTCGTGGGTCATTCTTTGATACACACACACTTCAGGTGAGACTTGCAACCTTCAGAAGCCACGGCACTCTGCCAGGCCCCACAAAGCACAGGCCCTCACTGCCCTGGAGCTGCTTGGTGTGGTTTCATACCCAGCTGGTGCATGCACCCTCACCCTCACGGTCCTTGCTATTCTGTTGGTGGGTTGAATTCATTGGTTTGGCCATTGTCAAGGGTAAAGATGATAAAAGGCTCAGGAGATAACAGGAGGAATGGAGGCGGGAGATGAGGATTATATTTGATGTGGGTTTCTTTTTCCAATGTTCAGGTAAAAACAAGACAAGTGGGTGACCAAATAGGGGAGCTATAGTGGAATAATCTGGTGGCTCAGGTGCCATGTTGGGGCAGCAGGTCTATCATGAAGAAATCAATGGGGCCGGTGTGTGTGAGATGCTGGTGAACACTGATAAAGCAGATCCAGGGGAAGGCAGGGTCAGAGGGAAGGGCAAGCTATATGGGCCGAAAGCAGAGTCTCTGGGGCCTCCCAGGCTCTGGCAAGATTGGGCAGCTGGCAGGAAGGGTGTCCCCGGGGCCTGACCCCATGCTTTTCTATGCACTGTTCCTAATTTAGCTCTGCCAGGTGTGGAGTAGCTAGCTGTCTTCGTGCCTCCTGACAGATGAGTAGATGGAGGCTCAGGTAGGCTGGATCTTCGCTGGTTCTCAAGGCAGAGTCCAGCTTCAAGCCCTGGGCTTCTCCACGCCTCCTGGCCCTCAAAAGAGGCTTTGAGCTACCCAGATGGATCCCTGAGAGAGAAGCTTCCTGGGCATCCTGGCTCCGACCTATGCATCTTGAAAGCAACAGTGACAGAAATGTCCCCTTGGGGTGCAGGTGGGTCCTTGCAGCGGTAAGACTCAAGCCAGCAAAAGGCCCCTGAGCCTGCAAAGGAGCTACAGGCTCTGAGCTAGGGCCTTTGTAGAAGGCAGGTGACTGCTGGTCCCTTCCATTCAGAACACGTCCCAGGGAATCCCTTAGATCATACTTCCACCAGCACTCCTTTGACAGGCTGGTAGCAAAAAAGCTTCCTTCCTAATCCCCACCAGGGTCCTAGCCATTTGGAGTTGGGGTGAGTGTCATGCCGTGCAAATGGCCGTTGCTCACATGGGCCCCTGCAACTCCTAAATGTCATGTTACCACACTATGCCAGGGGTGCCAGTATCCCTGCACTGGCCTCTGGAAGTCCTCTGTCCAATACACGCCCTGATCAACTCCTGCCACATAGAGGAGGCCCTGCTTTATTGGGCATGGGGAGGCAGCACAGGATGCTTGAAATAAATCCAAGGAAACGTAAAGGAGTGTCCCAGCTGTCCCAGCCATGGGAGCCTGGCCTGCTGACTCACATGCCTGCTGTTAAGTACTGTCCCCTGGCACTGAAACAATACCCAGAGCTCCACAGTGACCACAGACAGCACTAGTTCTCCCAGGAGGCAGGGCTTACAGGCTTTAGGGGTTCCATGAGTTCCTGCTTTCAATGCTTATGGCAAAACATTGAGCAGGTTACCAGGGAAGGACGGAACCTCCAACAGGTCAGGGAATGAAAGTTTACAACCATGTACAGGATGGCAAACCTGCTCTTGAATCAGTGGACTTTTCCTCTCCACACTGAACAGGCCTGCAAGTCATAAAGCCCACATTATTGAGTGCTTCCTACATACCCAAAGCAGGCCAAGGTATCTACAGTAAAGAATCCCTCACCAGCAGCAAGGTAGGTGGTGGAAGTTCACAGGTGTTTCTGAAGTCTTGGCCAAGGAGGCCTTGGACCTTCTGGTTTAATGCCTTTGCTCATTCTTGGGCACCTATTGAGTGCCAGGTTCTATGCTGGGGGCTGGAGATAAAAAGATGAAAAAAAAATGTGCATAGTCTCTGATCTTACTTAACTGACTGCAAACTGGGAACTTGTTAAGCTGCTACAAGGGTTAAAGAAGAGGATAAATACTATGGCCCTTTTTGAGGCCTAACTCAAAGAAATAGTCAATCAAGTGTAGATATTTTATTCATAGGAAGAGAAACTAAGTTATTGGCTAGGCCCCCAAATGCTCACTCTTTTTACTGTCACTTATCCTCCATAACAGTCCCTCCACCTGTAGCATTCTCTTCCCTCTATCAATCAGTATGTCCAAACTCTACCTGTCTCTTCCAGAAAGCCTGCCTTGAGTACTGTTCTTTCCCTCTAAGCATCCTAATCGCTGCATACCCTCCTGTTGGAGCAGCTCCATGGGTGTGTTCTGATGTCCTGAGGCCTTGCTTTGATTGTCTCCTGGTCTCAGTCCTGCACTGTGCCCAGGGCCCTTGGGCTCTGCAAGCTCCATGTGGTCTTCCCTTCACTAACCTGGTAGGCATGTGGTGCTGATAACCATTAGCCCTTGGATCCTTAGTAACTGTGCTATGTACACAGGTAAACCATTGACTGGGTGGTGGTGATAGTGGGTTTAGAGCAGAGGGAGAGGGGCTGTAACCTTTGGTCTGGCCTTGCCCGGATGGGAAGTGGAGTAGCCAGGACATGAACTGACACCTGTGTGGGATCCTGGGGTTTGTAAGGTGAGGATTAACCAACTGAGCCATCATGCTGGCCCAGTGACAGACTTTTTCACAGTCCCCTAAGCCAACATGGAACACAGACAGGAAGGAGCGCTATTGGTTTAGACCAAGGGCCTTCAACACTAACACATTCTGCTTCCTAGGGCTTCTGTGATCCAAACAGACCCCTTGCTTGCAGAAAGATAAGGGGCCTTGTTGAAAGTCACATGCCTGAATTCAAATGTTGGATTCTGGATGCTACGGTAAGAAACCAGGTCCTGCTACTTTGCGCTCAAGGGCCTGAAAGTCACATGTCTGAAAAACCCACGGGAGATATTTGCATCTAGGAGCATGTGCAGAACAACACGACAAGGACCTGGGATGATGCTGCTGCTCTTTGCCAAGATCCACAGCCTTCTCCAACTCTGTATTTACCCCCACGTCCTAGGCCAAAGGATAAGCTCCTTAGTTACCAACCTCTGCCTTCATGGCCACACAGAATCCACTCTCCATATCTCCAAATACCCATTCTCCTTACTTTACTCTGGCTCCAATGTGAAAGAGGGATATGGGTGCTTTGAAGCTCAACTGTAGCTAAGAGATCACACAGAGATGGCCTAGCTGAGGAATGTAAAATACAAGAGGGGGTCTTGGCTCAGCATAAAAGAGAGCCTTTGTAAATGTGTTTATTCTGCCTATCTCCAAACAGCATCTAAACTCAGGTACCAGGAAGAGCTGAGCTGGGAGACAGGGCACTGGGAGATGATGTTGGCTCTTGGGTCACCCCCGTCCCCCACACATGTAAAGCTCTGCTCCCCACTGGCATCTTGCTGCTGGGACCCCCTACAGCTAGGTGCCATGGGAGACATCTGTGGGCTTCCAACTCCTGATGATGAAGAGGCTTCTGCTTGGGGGATCTTCCTCATTCCAGGCAGAAAAGCACAGCTGCTCCCTGCTACCTCCCTCTGCATCCTGGCTCAGCCCAGTGACCCCCACGCCCCTCTCTTGACTCCCAGGAGCAGCAGAGCATCCCGGCTTTGCCCAGGGATCCCCCATACCCCTCACTTGACTCCCAGGGGCAGTGGATAGCAGCACCCTAAGTGTCCTTGGCTGGGATCACGTCCTCTCACCCTGTCACACATGAGTCACAGTTGCACTCTGATTAAGCTCGTGATTCTTTGGAGATTTCTGATGGCTAGGTGGACAGTGGTCAGATGCCATAGAGGGATAACAACCCCATGGTGGCAGATTTGTTGGCTCACCTGCACACACTGGCCTTAGGCAAGAGCTAAGTACCTGAGGAGACCTAGGCTGCACACAGTGAGCTTTGTGTTTCCAGGGCATCTTCTTCCTCCTCTTCTTGACCTATGGTTCTTCCAGACTCATCTAAGGAAGCCACTTTTCCCAAGGTTGCTGTCCTAGATTTCTTCCAGGGGGAGCTATCTCCTCTCTGATGCCCACAGCTGCCTGGGCCTCCTCTTATCAATCACACTGTTGGGGTCTTGAGTCTGCTTTGCATGGCCCTGGGAGCTGCCTGGCCACAGCATTCCTGTCCTGAGACTCCTGCTGCATCCTGCCAGACAGGAGACACAGAGCATGACTGTTGAGAAACCACAAAAGCACAAATCAGAGGGTGTCTCCCTGCACCTCTACCCCAGGACCAAATAATTTATCCATATCAAAATCAAGAACGTAGGTTAAACAAGGACCCAGAGTTGACAGGCAAGAGGCTGAATAGGAAATGTTACTGAAGCCTGAACAGGAGAATTCTGAAACCCATAAGGACTGCTACCTAGACCAGGTAAGGAATGTTTGCATCAATGATAAAAAAGAAGATGCTCGAAATAACACACACACACACACAGCATGGAGCCACAGTGGCCGATTTCTAGTCCAAAGCTCTTTACAAGTATAGGAAGAAATGTCCACACTCATCAGTAATCAGAGAAATGACATTTAAAAGGCATCATGTGATATGACTTTACACCTTTAGACTGTGGGAGACAGTGATGTGAGTGGGGGAGGAAGTTAGGCAGCAGTGGGAGAGGGGCAGGCATCCCCATGACAACAGGGGTGGGGCCAGGTATGGCCACTCTACAGAACAATCTGGCAAATTTGGAGCATATGAGGGTGCTTCAAAAAGCTGGTGGGAATGGAAGCCAAAGATGTTTATTTAGGTGTCACCTCCCATATTGAAATCTGCATACATGGGGGTGCTTACAACAAGCAAGGAAAATACACATCAAGCAAAAACTAT